AAGACACAAAAATGAAAAGAATTCCTTAGCCCATTTAAGTGACTTTGACTGTCAGCGTGTATAGTATAGGTGAGATCCCCCAGGGTTTCTCTCTGTCTCTTGTTCAGTCTCTCGTCACTGCTGGCCTTGTCCTCAGAAGTAGCCACAGTGCCATATCCGTTACCCAACAGGTCTTATATAATGCCTGTCACACAGAGCATTAAGCCAATTAACTACAATACTGGGAATCTCAGGGTATTGGCTGAAGATAAGCAAGGGTATTTTGGATACAGAACTCAGAGAGCCCAATCTGGTGGACTTCTACAAACAACTCCAACTTTTAATTTCCAACTTCTGTGATATCCAGGTCAAAATGTACCTTTTCGTGGGCCTCCACCAGTGAAACGATAGTTCTCATCTCCTAGATCCCACGTCTGAATTCTCTGGCAAAGATCTTCATCTCTTTTCTAAGATCATAAGAACAAAGGCTCTGAATGTGCCATGTTGTTTCATCAGGACCAGACTTATGATGGTAACTCTGCCACCCTGACACCCCAGTCACCCCTAACTAAAAGTCTACCATCAGCTAAGTTATTTTGCCCAACTGTAAAGGGATTGATTTTTCTTCAAATGCAAATGTGCCAGAGATGAAGGATATCACAAGCTGAAAATATGAGGTCTAGACAAGCCAGCTGGTTTAACTGAGATTTGTTCTAATAGGAGGAAACAGGGAAGGAGCAGGGGAGGGGGATGCCGATTGCTGCTACTGAAAACAGGAGCTGCTCGACTCTGTGTTGCAGACCAGGTGGAAAGGAAGGAGCTCTCCAGCCAGACTGCAGACTTCCCAGTTACCCATAGTAGGCTCTGTGTCCAGAGCTGACTTTAAGTTGGGTTTTCATTTGGTTTTTAACACCGATTTTTCAAGGGTTGCATCCAACTTAGCAAAGAAAGGATTGGTTCATTTGCAGAAAGAACTAAGACTGGAGGCCTAGAAAGTAGTTCTATGTGCCTGGTAGTGTTGGAATGGTCACATGGTCACTATTATGCAGAAAGAAGTATTGATCGTGGGTGGGGTGAAGATTTAGGAGTCTGTCATAGCCTTTTTGGGCTGCTATGACAAAATGCCACAGACTGCCTAGCTTACAACAAGTTATTTCTCAGAGTTCTGGAGACTAGAAGTCTGGGATCAGGGTGCCTGCAGGGTCAGGTGAGAGTCTCTTACTGGCCCAGAGTTGGCACAGTACAAAATAGTGGAAAGTGCAAGGTGGGGCACCTAGGTGTCTTAGTTAAGCGACCAGCTTTGGCTCAGGTCATGATGTCTTGGTTCATGGGTTCGAGCCCCGTGTCAGGCTCTGTGCTTATGGCTCACAGCCTGGAGCCTATTTTGGATTCTGTGTCTCCCTCTCTCTCTGCCCGTCTCCTGCTTGCACTCTGTCTCTGTCTCTCAAAACTAAACATTAAAAAAATCTTAAAAAAAGAAAGTACAAGGAAGCTCTGTAGAGTCTTTTATAAGAGCAGAAATTCCATTTATGAGAGCTCAAAACCTAATCCCCTACTGAAGGCTTCACCCACTAATACCATCACCCTTGAAATTAGGTTTAAATACATGAATTTTAGCAAGACACAAATGTTTAGACCATAGCAGAGTAAAACTGCTTGAATTTAAAATCAAGTGCTATGATTTAGTTTTCTAACACTGTACTGGTGACTTAACCTCTCCAAGCTTCAGTTTCTTTACCTGTAAAATAGGACTAATACTAGAACTTCACCTATTTAAGCAAGATGACTAATGTAAGTAGCAGATGTCATGACTGAATAAATGTTGGTTCTTACGGTTTTCATTAAACTGTTGGGTTCAGAAGGAGGGAATGTAGGAGAGTTGGCTGAGGTGGAAATAAAACACAATTACCCTTCTGTGTAATGTGTCTCTTTCTGACTGAGGTGTGATTTCTTCAAACTAGTTACCACAAAGCATCTTCACTTTCTTTTGAAATAGGATTTCAGATCTCGAAATAGAGTATTTTTTATGCAAATATAGTCGTATGTACAGCATCTTCTGCCCTCTTCTGGCTTCTTCGAGAACTTCAAGTCTATGCAGAAGCTAAATAGAAAGCGCTTATGCAAAAGAATTGTTTTTCTTTTACTTTTAATGGACATCTACTGTTTGCAATTTCTCCAGTTCCGGATAAGAGGGATAAATCTGTACTATTTTGTATGAATATAGGAGTTATCAGAAATCTTTAATTTTTTTTCCCAACAATTAGTTTTTGAAATGGAGATTGATGCTATTTTATTCAATTCTATTCTTCCAGGACTGGTTCTGCATATCATAACTACTAAATAAATAATTAAATGGTGCCAAAAATGATTGCAGAGACTAAAATCTGAGGTCATTATAATTCCTGAGATAATTAATCAGATGTTTAAAATAGAACCAGCATGTGAGAACCTTTGATTATAGAAAAAGCCTGGAGCTAAAAGTCCCAGTTCTATTAAAGATGGCATTGGATTTTAACTTATTTTACCCCAGCCTTCAAAAAATAAATAAAAGCATAATTTCTAAAGGTAGCTCGTTTCACGTAGATAGAATGTAGATTTTCAGATGGTATGGGGGGGAAACCCAAAACATTATTTGCTATACCTTTGAGTGGCGGTATTTGTAGTCATCTGTGCTGTGTCACATCCAGCCAGAGATGTCATGGCATGGCAGGAGACTTCTATTAGGATGTGACACCAGAACAGAAATATGTGTTGGTAGATACAAAGGAGACGGAGCTCAGTCAGCAGAGGTCAACCTGTTCACAGATCTATTGCTAAGGAAGGTCTCCTCCATCTCAGAGCATAGTGCAGTATGAAAGAGTTAGTTGAACAGAATGAAAGCAACATTGGAGGCTTAGCCCATTTGGCAACGAAGAGAAAAGAGGAAAAAATAAAAGAAGATGAAAGCAGCGAAGCATTTGTGATGCCAGTTGCAGCTCTCCCTTTTACGTCTTACACTGTGTAATTCAGGTGTCACCGAAGTTGAAGAGTCATAATCCAGACTATCACTTTCCAACCAACCCTGTGTCACTCATGTCTGGAATTTATATAGTCTCCAGATCACCCCACCCACAAAGAACTAAAAGTTTTTACAGCAAGAGGCCTTGCTTAGCCATTAAAACATATTACTGTTCATAAGAATATGCAGGTGCAAAGAGCCTATACAGTTTGGACAAAGGAGAATCATGGGAGCATTTTCGTTACCAAATTTTAAAACACAGTGAAAGGATATGATGCTTAAAATTGTTGTATTAACTCCAAAGGCAACACACTGAATAACGGAATTATCATAAGACTGAGAGGCAAATGCTAGCCTTGACATATATGATATACACCCAGGAGATAGAAGCATTTTTCAATGAATGTGCTTGAAATAACTGCTTACGTGTCTGGGAGAAAATATTAAAATTTCAAATACTATTATATACCAAAATATATTCTGGGAAGATTACACGGTTAACTGTATTAAAAATGGATAATGAAAGAAGAGTTAAATGTATATTGCTGTATGTGTATGATGGCATATTTGCCCTTAAAACAGCATTTTAACTGAGAATTTATTGACAGGGGTAAACAGTTGTGTTGCCCAGAGTTTTTAGCAACCCAAAACACAAAATCTAAGTACAAAGAGAATTTACTAACAGATATCAGCTCATACGATCTTTTGATCTCTAGGATAGTCAGATAATTATGACCAGAGGCCACACAACTAAGAAAAATGTGTCATCCTTGCTATGTCATTGGTGCAGACACAACCTCAAAGTTTCCAAAGGTGACACCAGAAAGTTTTCCCTTGGATTCTAAGAGAGGGCGCTGCCACCGACACACTACCACTGCTGCTCCTGAAAACTCCATGCCTCTTGGTAATGCATGCCGAAAAATGGATTCCATTTGGAGTCCCTAAGTTATGTCACCCTCTTCCAAATGAAAGACTCAAGCATCCCATGAAGCCTGGATCACCTAGGCCACATCCTAACAGCTAAGGACGCTGGAAAACAGAGTGAGCATCTACATCGGAGTGGTGCGCGGATTACCTCAACTACAGTTAAGGTGTTTAGAAGTTGCTGGATAGCAGTAGATATGATATACATTCCCACATGCTCATGGCATAAAGAAACAATGTGCATAAACACTTTATACATGATACAACCCCATTTTTGCAAAACAAATTACATATGAGTGCAGAGAAATAAAGAAGACTCTAAAGAATAAGACCAAAAACAATAATATTGGATCCAGGAGAGGTTAGCAGGTAGAGTTTGGCTTATTATTATTAATTTTTGTTTTGTTTTGATAGAGTTGATAGAGTGAGGGAAGGAGAAGAGCAGGGCGAGAAGGAGAGAGAGAATCTCAAGCAGGTTCCACGCCCAATGTGGAGCTGACATGGGGCTCAGTCACAGGACTATGAGATCATGACCTGAGCTGAAATCATGAGTCAGATGTTTAACAAGCTGAGACACTCAGGCATCCTGGAGTTTGGCTTATTTTTTATATCATATTCATACATCTGTGTTTTTTAAATTTTTTCACCATGTGTACGTACTAATGTTATCAAAAAGTAAGAGAACAAAACAGAGTTTGAGACCCTCACGGGCAGTGTAACACGATGTCTGATTTAGAAGAAAAGGAGTAGGGGTGCCTGAGTGACTCAGTCAGTTATGTGTCTGACTCTTGCTTTCCTCTCGCTCTTTGGGAGATCAAGCTCCATATTGGTCCCTGTGCTGATAGCACAGATCGTACTGGGGATTTTCTCTCTCTCTCCCTCTCTCTCCTTCCCCTGCTGTCTCTCTCTCTCTCAGAATAAATTAAAAAGAAAGGAATCATAGAAAATTTAAAACTCAAGACTCTTTCTTCATGAGAAAACTGACCACAAGTTAGGACAAAGAGGCTTATTAAAGAGACATGCATGTAGAAGACTGTGAAGCCAGGCCAGAAACTCAGATTTACTCAAAGATTTTTTTCTTTTTTGAACATTTGATCATCAGGGGAAAGCATGAACACAGCCCCCACTACCACAAATTAGGCAGTTGAATTTCCCACATTTGGGGAAATCGCAGGGGTCAGCACATCTGGATTGCACTGGATGAGCCTCCCTCCTGGGAAAACCACCTCATGATCATGGTTTCTGCCTGTGCCCAGGTATTGAACTGCTTCCATGAAAACTCTCTACTCTTCCTCCATATTTATATATTTTAAGACCAGTGATTTTTCTGTTTCATCTTGGGTATTTGTGTTCAATCTGTGGCAATTGGACAACATGATACAGGTGATTTGTTTTCTACTTTGTGGCTAATAGATGTGTAATTCTCATTACATGAGACTTTCCAGTTATTCAGGGTTTTATCATGGGAGTCCTTGTTGGATGGAGAAGGGAATAAGGTATCCACTAACCCAGTCTGTCTCTTGTCAGAAAGAGTGACTTTTGGTTACCTCTTTGATTTTTTTTTTTTTTTTTTTTTTTTTTGCGGTTTTTTTTTTTTTTTTTTTTTTTTCGGTAGTGGGATGTAGGCTCACAACACTAATGACCCTTCGAAAAGCTCTTTGGGATATTTGTATGAAAGTAACAAGAGCATGGAATTGCTCCAAATCAAGTAAAGATGGTTACTTGCTTATAAAGATGAGGTTAATTTGCTGTGAGAATTACATAGAAAGAACATTTCTTTAGAGTTGTGTAACATATCAAAATTACTGTGTCTTGGGAAGAGAAATCTTTGTGTGAAGGACAATGTCAGGAATCGCAAGGAGAGATGAACAAGGCAGTCACCCTGTTTTTTGTGACAGTGAGCATCCTAATGGCTGCAGCCATTGTCACACCAGTAGTCCCAGCAGAAGCCCAGTGTCTAAATTGTAATATGGGGCTCAGTGAAAGCTGATTCACTGAAGATATAGATGTAGGTTATCCTTATATTTCATCTTTATAATAATTATGGCCTTCATAATAATTATGCCTGCTATTTTTGAGCATTTTGTCAGGTACCTTACATATCTTATTTTTGTTTTGAGTGCTTTTTGGAGAAAAATTTAGAGACTGATTACAAGCTTCTGATGCATCTGTTCAGTTCACAGTGATTCTCCATCTGGAAAGCCCATCTCTAACCTGATCTACAATCCCCTCAATAGTTACTTTTGTAATACGTGAGCCTACCCTCTGGTTGCTGCAAATTGGGCCAGGATGGACATCTTACTGAAACCAGGACATTTAGATTCTCTCTCCCATGGATTTGCAAATGAAGTGAAGATTCAGAGTCTGTTAGTCTGGAGGTGGTTAGAAGGGTAATATGCAAACTCCAGAATTGTGATTCTCTAGGAAAAGAGGATGGAGTATAAAGCAGGTGCAGAGAAGGAGGAAGAGATCAAAGATAGAGTCTTGACATTTATTCCCCATATCTGTTTTTACTTAAAACCTACCTTTAAATCCCTGAATTCCAAAGCTGTCCTCTCTTTGCTTAAACTAGCTAGAATTGGTGTTTGACAGTTAGAAAAGTTAGAATCTAGAATCTTGGCCATTACAGGGTATAAATATATACGTATACATATAAACCTACATCCATAAAAACATTATTTCAGTGGCACATCCACTCATGGCCCTTCCCAGAATGTGTATTATCCTCCTTATGTCACAGAAGAGGACACAGACTCAGAGAGTGGAAGCAGGCTTCCCAACGTGACCTTAGAATAGTTAGCGTTGGCATTTGATCTGAGGTTGGAATAGCTTAAAGTCTTCTGATCTTACTAGTCTGTATGCTATGCCCCCATGTAGATATACTCATTCTCTTACCATGCATTTATGGATGTCCTTTTAAGTCCAAGGCACTATGTTTCTGGAGTTCCACTAAGGTTTGCCAAGAAGTTGGAGATTTTTTACATGGTTTTGTATCCGTATGTGTCCATGTAGACTACTAAAGGCCAGGTCCTCTGCTCAAGGTTAAGGAATAGTTCTTGAGACTCGTAATCCATACATTGTGCTTTCAGTAAAGGTAACATTAAGGAGAGATCAGCTTCCAAAAGACAGAGGAGTCATGGGCTTTTGGTATTACTAAAACCTTTCAATTATAAGCACTTATGGAGCAACTGTGTATATTTTAACTGGATCAGATGCCACCTGGTGTGATTTTGTCCCTGGACTTCAGACAGAATGTGCCTGGGATTGTCAGCGGACTGGTAATGAGCACCTGTTTTTAGAGGAGTTGTTTTAATGGTGCCCTGAAGATTTCATGATGTGATAGTCCAATAATGTCTCAAACCTACTATTAAACACAAAGAAGCCATGTAAGTCTCTCAGTGTCACAGTACTAATTGGTCACAGATATGGAGCTTGTCTGCTAAGAATACACAGCCAACATAAATCATTTAAAATAACTTACATTGTTTTTTCTTTTTATTCCTCCAGATGACAACACATGTTGATTAGATTCATGTCATATCCATTATGCATTCTACCCTCACAGTCTCTTTCTCTGAATTAATGAAACATAAAATGGGAAAATTAAAGGTTTTATAGTTAGAATCTATAGTGCTTAGGGTACAGTATAAAAACCCCTTATTAATTTCATGCATTCTGTCCTATTATAAAATTCTACCTTTTTGTATTAAAAGTTAAATTTTCTCTAAATAGATAAAAAATATTACAATCATTAATGTCAATATATTCTTAAAAATGACATGAGTCAAATATCTCATATGACATAGCACCTCAGTTTTTATAAAATTTATGCCTACTATATATGGTGACATACAAAATAGGCAAAGTATGAACAATATGGTTGATAACCCTGGAAGTGGAAATTATTCAGGTTTGCTACTACCCAAGAGAGCTAGATGTTATATTAATAATAATAATTAGAAAAATAATTACAGCTGTTAGAGAATATTTACTATAACCCAGGCAATGTTCTGAGTACTTTACATTAATCAATTCTGTTTTCACAACTGCCTCTGAGGTAGGGCTATTAGTATTCCATTTTACGGATGAGGACAGTGAAGAAGAGATTTCATTTGGTCCTGGCACTTCTGAGCTATATTCTAGGTAGCAAAAGAGATCTGTCCTGTCCTGGTATTAAAATGTATATAATACCTAAATGGTTAAATAGTTTCTCCTTATCTGACTGCAACTCTCCTTGGCTCGGTTGTTCTATCCCTCTTTTTTTCTGAGTGAACTCCTATTGAAACTTCAAGGCTTAGAAAAATATACTCCTTTTTAGAATGTATTTTCTAAAAAACTTTCATTGTTTCTTCATCCACATTCCCTTGACTTTTTTTTTTCTCCATCATCTGCCCTTCTTCTTTGGAACATCATTGACTTCCTACCCAATCCATAGTATAAGTTTTTTTACTAAGTTATTAATCCCTTTGTGATACTTGACACTCTTAATTAAGAATTTTAATGACTCCTAAAATTCTTCAAACTTTTCCTCCTTGGACTTTCAATGCACCATCCTCCACAGCTCCTTCTTTGGGTTTTCTAATCATTCCACCTCAGTCTTGTGTTTACTCATTAAAGGATGGAAGTCCATGGCCTAGATCCTAAAACAAGATCCACCATCCAGAATGGCACTTGGCATAACAAAATATCTCAATAAATGTATCCTTGTGGAACCTAACCTATGCTTATGGTTTCAACTATGATTCATGAACTAGCAAATGTGAAAAACAGAGCTCTTAAGCTTAGGGATTTCTGATGGACATGTAATGTCAGGCTTACTGTTAGTATACTCTGCTTCTCATTCTTATCTGGATGATTTACTGACTCTTTTCTCTTACACACTCACAAACGTGCACACACAAACACTGAGGCCAATGGGGTATCAGGTATTGGGCTACATGTTGAGTCTGTCATGGTGCCTTCCTGACAATTATTACATGGATGAAGATACCAGCCTTTAATACTGTTTCTCTGTCTATTTCCTTTACTCTCCATTTCATTTTTCACTTTCATGCTGGAGTATTCTTTGGAAAACATCTGTAACTATTACTACTTAAAATCTTTTGATGGTTCCACATTGAATTTACAACAGAGTTCCCACGCCTTCAATAGCTCAGAAGGTCCTTTATAATCTCACCCCTGCCCACATACCTAGCCCCAATTCCTCCATTCTCCCAATGTATCCTATACTTTAGACACAGCAAGGTCTTTGGTATTCCCTAATTATGGTTTTGTTCACCTATGTGTCTATATACATATCATCTAGTTGAGGTTTGGTGGGGTAATGAGGGGATCAATCGAAAACACTCCTCTTATCTGCCTGGTTTAGATTTAGTTGAGGGATTAACACAGAGTAAGATTAAGTAGAGAGTAAAATGATGCCTTCATCCTGACCATGTTTATATTAGAGTTGTAGTTTATAATGTTCAGCAAGCACAACTCTCTAAATTCTGCCTTATGGGGGCACCTGAGTGGCTCAGTCAGTTAAGCGTCTGAGTTCAGCTCAGAGTTCAGCTCAGGTCATGATCTCACTGTTTGTGAGTTCAAGCCCTACTTCAGGCTCTGTGCTGACAGCTCAGAACCTGGAGCCTACTTCAGATTCTATGTCTCCCTCTCACTGCCCCTCCCCTGCTTGTGCTCTGTCTCTCAAAAATAAACATTAAAAAAAAAAAAAAAACAGCTTTATAATGTCTTCCAATCAGAGACAGGCAAATTCTAGACCACCATATGGGCAGAGGGTCTTTCCTGCTAAGCTGATTGAATGGTCCAGATAGAGAGCACCAGCTGTCTGAGAGCAGGCAAGGTCTCAAATGAAAGGAGAGCGTGCATACACAGCTTAGTTCTCCTCCCAAACCACTGTCATTTAGCATCTCTCCCCCTCCTGTGGCAGAATTAGTGGGACTACAGAGAAAGGCATAGAAGGAGTGCTGTGAAATAGAGCTCCTCCAAACTCTAAATATTTTTTAGTGAATAATGAATATATGTCATACATAAGCTGAAGTCATCAGGACTTTTTCAATTTTAAGTGGAAAACAAAAGCATCTCACTTTGCCTTAAACCAAACAGTGGAATTGATTAGCTCACATAACTGAAAAGCATGGCAATTGAATTGGAGTGTGGTTGAGTCCAGGGACTTTGTGTCACAGAACTTGATCTGTCTTCATCTTTAATTGCCTCTTTCTTGATTCCAGTCTCGGGCAGGCTCTTTCCTTGCTGTGCTA